CCTTCGGCCCTCGTCTTCCCTTCGATTGGACTCATCCTTTTAATTAGAGTCACTTCGGGCCTTCGGCCCTCGTCTTCCCCTCGATTGGACTCATCCTTTAAATTAGAGCACTTCGGGCCTTCGGCCCTCGTGTTCCCTTCGATTGGACTCCTCCTTTCAATTAGAGTCACTTCGGGCCTTCGGCCCTCGTCTTCCCCTCGATTGGACTCATCCTTTAAATTAGAATGCCCCATCGTATCCAACCCCGGATGCAAAAAGTTTCAGACTTCTAACTCATCCCTAAAATGAGTTAGACTTCGAAGCCCCGGGGGCATAACCATTTGGGAAGGCATAAGTACCCTTCAGGTCCGAATTTCGACTTCGAGTTTTTTTCCATTAACATCCCCTAATATCAGGGCACGTGCCTCCCAGCAGACGTTTTCCGCTATCTCCAGCCATTAAAAAGATAGCCCCGGCACTTTTGCAATTTAGGTACCAGGGGGTAATTATTTTGACTTCTCGATAATTTTCCTGGATGCCCCGTCCCAAACTACCCCCCGAATGTCAAACTCCCGAATCCGTGCCGGCCTTCGGCCGGCCGTTATTTTTTTTCTTAGAAAAAACACTCCCTGAATTATAGGTATATAGTAACTAGCTGTAGTTACGTATGCGATGGCGGTAAGTTACGTATGCAATTCCTATTAGGATACTCTGGCGGTTTTTTTCGAACTCAGCCCGTTGGAAAGCCTAACGGCTTTGGGGCGCGCTTCGCGCGCTGCTAGAACTTTTGGATGCCTGGAATATATTTATTTATCTCTGCCTTTTTATTGCTTCGGGCCTCCGGCCCTCGCTGATCTTTTCTCTGCCTTCCGGGATGGGTTGAAGCTCGGGCCTTCGGCCCTCGCCTCGTCTTTCCCCGTTGGGACTCATGCTTCCACTTAGAGTCACTTCGGGCCTTCGGCCCTCGTCTTCCCCTCGATTGGGCTCTTCCTTCCACTTAGAGTTACTTCGGGCCTTCGGTCCTCGTCTTCCCCTCGATTGGAACCATCCTTCCACTTAGAGTCACTTCGGGCCTTCGGCCCTCGTCTTCCCTTCGATTGGACTCATCCTTTCAAGTAGTACTATTCTCTGCCTTTGACTATTGATGTGCCTTTTAGATGTAATGAATGCTCGGGCCTTCGGCCCTCGCCTACTCCTCGGCCTTCGGCCTCGGAGGATCTATGCTTTGCCTTTGACTATTGCTCTGCCTTTTAGATGTAATGAAAGCTCGGGCCTTCGGCCCTCGCCTACTCCTCGGCCTTCGGCCTCGGAGGATCTATGCTTTCCCTTTGACCATTTGCTCTGCCTTTTAGATGTAATGAAAGCTCGGGCCTTCGGCCCTCGCCAACCGGCGGGCCTTCGGCCCGTCGGTTCCTCGGCCTCGGAGGATATCCTCGATTGGACTCATCCTTCCACTTAGAGTCACTTCGGGCCTTAGGCCCTCGTTTTACCCTCGATTGGACTCATCCTTCCTCTTAGAGTCACTTCGGGCCTTCGGCCCTCGTCTTCCTTTCGATTTGACTCACACTTCCACTTAGAGTCTCTTCGGGCCTTCGGCCCTCGTCTTCCCCTCGATTGGACTCATCCTTCCACTTAGAGTCACTTCGGGCCTTCGGCCCTCGTCTTCCCCTCGTTTGGACTCATCCTTCCACTTAGATTCACTTCGGGACTCATCCTTTCAATTAGAGTCACTTCTGGAATCATCCTTTCAATTAGAGTCACTTCTGGACTCATACTTTCAATTAGAGTCACTTCTGGACTCATACTTTCCATTAGAGTCACTTCTGGACTCATCCTTCCACTTAGAGTCACTTCGGGCCTTCGGCCCTCGTCTTCCCCTCGATTGGACTCATCCTTCATCTTAGAGTCACTCCGGGCCTTCGGCCCCTCGATTGGACTCATCCTTTAAATTAGAAGGATGATTGGACTCATCCTTTCAATTAGAAGGATTTTTGGACTCATCCTTTCAAATAGAAGGATGATTGGACTCATCCTTTTAATTAGAAGGATGATTGGACTCATCCTTTCAATTAGAAGAATGAGTCCAATCCAATACAAAATTTCGAAGCAGAAACTGCTTCACGAAGCATCGCTGCTTCGGATCCATAACAGGATCCAGCTTATCCCTCCACAAAATTTTCCCCAATATACAAAATTCTGCCTTAAACACTTCTCTGGGTTGCCCCGAATGGTCAGAGACGGAGAAAAATTTCGCCTCTCTGCCATCAACTTCACCTGTCAATCATTTTTCCTCTCTCCCTACCATAATTTTCCGAGTACGGTACTCACCCCCCACAAATTTTTGAACCTCTGTACTTTCTTCAAAATGTACCGAAAAAATTCGAAAAAAATATTTTTATATCCAGCTCGATGAGAGCTTTCGAATGATATCTCATTTGCCATATCTATATTGAATTTGAAAAAAATATTTTTTTGGCCTGAAATTTAGGCCAGAAAAAATCCCTGAAATTTTCAAAAAATCATATCTCGCCCAAAGTATACCTTTTTGAAAATTTTAAAATCTCATAATATGTAGAAAAATCTGGTTAATCCAGGAAAAATACAATCGGCCCGAACCACCGGCAAAAATCCCGAAAAAATTTCGAAAAACCGAAAAATTTTGGGTTTTTCGAAATTCGACCCCTACACCTCCAATTTCGAATTTTTCCGAATTTTTTCGGCTCTAAAAATTTCTAATTTTTAGTACTATTTTATAAAGGAAAACCCATCCAATTCTCTTAATCCCAAAAAAAGTTATGATCACCTAAAAAATCCCTAAAATCCCCCAAAAGGGGTACCCTTTGAAAAAATTCGAGGGACCAAAATTTTCGAATTTTGACCCAAAAAATATCCTATATGGTGCTTTGACACCCGCTGAGTACGAATCCTGCGTCAGAAAAATTTTAAAAATTTTTCCCGGGTAGTTAGAGTCCAAAAAAGTTTCGCGACATTTGCGAACATTGGCCATAACTTTTTCAGACTCAACCGGACCCCCTACATATTATACCTTTTTCGGACCGTCAGGGGACACTCTATAACATAGAATATCGAAATCGAGTTTTAATTCACTTTTGACAATTGGAGCCACCCTTCCCAATTTTACAAGCCCGAATTTTGAAATTTTGGGCTACTGTAACTTGGTCCGAAGTGGTCCGAAAAATTTAAACTAAATTTATCCAGACTCAGCTCTTCGAGAGCTTTCATTTGACATATCACACGTGATTTGTCGATCAGTTTCGTAAATCTCGAAATTTGCGAAACGGGGATTTTGGGATATTTGGGAAGGCATATCTACCCTTCAAGTTAGTATTTCGGGTTCGGGTTTTTTTCCATTAATATCATCCCAATCCAACGTGCGTGCCTCCCGTTGGAAGTTTTTTGATATCTCCCCCCAGTCCCGAGATACCCCCGGTACCTATTCAATATAGGTACCATGGGGCAATTATTTCTTAACTCCCGTATTTTTCCCAAATGCCCCATCCATTCAAAACCCAGATACAAAAAGTTTCAGACCCCTAACTCAATTCGTTAAAGGGTTAGAATTTTTCAGCCTGGGGGCATAATCATTTGGGAAGGCATAAGTACCCTTCAGGTCCGAATTTCGAATTCGAGTTTTTTGCATTCGAACTCTACTAATAGCCGTACATCATCCTCCCAGCAGACATTTTTCGCTATAACCCCCCATTGAAAAGATAGCCCCGGCGCTTAAGCGATTTAGGTACCAGGGGGTAATTATTTTGACTTCTCGATAATTTTCCTGGATGCCCCGTCCCAAACTACCCCCCGAATGTCAAACTCCCAAAACCGTGCCGGCCTTCGGCCGGCCGTTATTTTTTTTCTTAGAAAAAACACTCCCTGAATTATAGGTATATAGTAATTAATTTTACACATTTTCTAATGCTTTTCAACTTGAGTGTATGTATTTCAGTGAGGACACGCCCAAGTAGGCGCGCGGCCAAGTAGGCGCAAAGCCATAACTACCTTAAAAATTTATGGACCTTAACAATTTTGGTACCATTCTCTTTAGCTCGATGAGAGGAATCGTTTAATACCAAATTTTGTAAGATTCGGAAATTTTGAAGCAAGTTATGACTTTGCGCCTACTTGGCCGTGCGCCTAGTTGGGCCGTACCCTTTTCAACTTGATTATATGCATTTCAGTGCAGACTGAATTTTCTCTTTTTCTTTTCGCTCTATTTTTTTACATGCTATTTTTATAGGGATACTGTCATTTTCGCTTCAAAACATCTAAGACTCTAGCTAATTTTTTGGCGTTTTGTTTAACGTGTCAGTTGAGTCTCAAATTCTAAGAAATACTATTTTTTAAGTCAGGATTCTGTTGAATTTACTTTTTGTTTTTTAGCTTTTGTTAACTTTTGTTTTTGTAGGGCTATAGTTGGGACCTTCAACAGCTTATTGTTAGATATGTCAATGGGTCTTCCATAAAAAAGTTTTGAGATAGATTGTCACCAATTTTTTTTTGTTAATTTTTGCTTTAAAATCTTTAACTCTGTTACATTTTTTTCAGTTCTTTATTTTCAATCTCCAAATAAATTTTATTTTCAATCTCCAACTAAACTTAAAAAATGACAACTGAACAATTGATCAATCTTGCCTCTGCCAGTGAACAAGGAGAGAAGCCACAAGAATTCTTTGCGGTGACGCCACTTAAGACGTGTCCACATTTGGAACAAATTGCGGTTTTTTTTATTTTGTTGGGGATTTTCAAGTACATTCAATTACTTTGAATAAGTCACCCTCTTTAAGATACCCAATGGCGACTGAAAATTCGTTTTGGTACGTTCCTTGAATTGTTTGTATCGATTAAACAGCTCCCTTCCACGACTGGCATTATTTAAATGTGTCTTAAACTGAGTGAAGTATTTGATTCGGGGGTAGCTTATAGCAGGCCCGACTGTAAGAACAACCTGGGATTCTTCAAAATAATGATTTTTACTATTAATTTAAATTTTCTAGGATAGCAAATTGCCTTCTGATGGACTCAACACTAAAGCTGCTTGCAACACATGTTCAAATACTGGCGAGAATTGGGTGTGTCTTAAATGTTTTGAGGTTAATTATTAAAATTTTTATTTTGTTTTGAAGTTAGCTTGGGCACTTAAGGGAGGGTATCTCACTTTGAGACTAATTTTCTGCAAAAATATTTTTTTCAAAAGGTCTATTGCTCTCGTTATGTTGAGGGACACGCTTTGACTCACACCGAAGAAACAAAACATCCTCTGGCCTTAAGCTTTGCTGACTTTTCTGTTTGGTGTTATCCGTGCAATTCTTATATTGACAATAAAGTGTTTGATGAGGCTAAAGAAGCTGCTATTCAATCCAAATTTGGAGGAAAGACTGAAGGTTAGAGAAGATTTAGCGCAAAGTTAACCCGACCCTCTGCCTTTCGAAAAATTTCTGGGTACTACTCCGTTATCCCTACGTGTTTTTGCAGACATTTTCTTCTGAAAATATACGCATAATGATCAGTTCCACCGATAAATTTATTATTAATGTCCATCATTTGAGCGTGTCACAGTGGATTGGATTGAAATTGAGGAATAAAAAAATGTCCGCAAAAAAAGTCCGCAAAAACACGTAAGGACAACGGAGTAGTACCATTTTCTGATATGTTTTTATATATTCCGCCAAGCTTTTCCAGAGATCTTAAGTCCCATCGTTATTTCTAGAACATCTAATTTTTAATTAATTTAAGTAGACAAAATGGACATTGAACCTGGAAAGAAAATTTATTCAATATCCTTCAATCAGGATTGCACTTATTTAGCGGTGGGACACGAGGATGGCTTTTGTTTCTACTCTCTTAGCTCAATTGATAAACTTGAAATTGAAAAAGATGAAAAAGGTTTATTTTTATCTATATTTTTATTAAAAATATTTTTTCTAGCTCCTGGTTGTTTTATTGTTGAGAGGCTGTTTAATAAATCTTTGATAACTTATGCTTCAATGAAAGATACAAAAAAATTAAAGGTTTATTATAGTTTATTGATTATTGTCTTCGATCTAATTTGGTAGTTGTGGGTTATCCCAAACAAGTTTTTATAGACATATTTTGCGGACTCGCTTACGGAATGGCCATATTCTGTACATATGATTGCGTACAAATTCATAAGTACCTTAGATTTATTTAGAATCCCCGAGTTTAGGAATCCCCGTTAGCTTGTCAGTGAATTGAGGAATTGTGGGCAAAGAAGAGGGGGGTCGACCCCCGGGATTGCCATTAAATGGAGACCCCCGGGATTGCCACTAAATCGGATTTTATTTTTTGGTTAAATTTCAACATATTCTAGATTTTGAAAGTAAGGTGGTCTTACACATACCCCAGCCATATACTTGCTGTCCGAATAAATAATAAGGTTTATAGTTATTTTACCATTAATTGTTTAATATTCTAAATTTAAGATGGTTGTGGTCTGTTTAGAGGATTCTATTCACATTCACAATAAGGTCAACGTGAAGGTTTATTTATTTTTAAATTTCTGGAAAATTTTTTTAAATATAGAAATTACAACTCCCTCAATCCCTCGATATTCCATCAAATCCCCAAGGAATTGTGGATCTTTCAATTGATGACAACAATTGCTTCCTTGCCTTTCCTGCTTCTTCAAACACTGGACATGTGTAAGGATTTTTAATTTATAAGGAGCCATCTTTTTCTGTAAGTCCGAATTTGATATATTTTTGATACTATTCGATAGGGGACCTCCGACTTAATATTGTAAAGTGATATCGGTTTGCTTGCAAAATCACTTTGGGCCGAGTTACGGCCGTTCAAATTTTTGGTTTTTGGTAGGTTTGACTATACGCAAATCGGTTGACTATACGCCCCCTGAAATCGTCCTCCTGGCTAAACCCTTGTAACAGGGATTTTACGTGTTGAGAAAAGAAGCCGAGTCGGTTGCAGTTCGGGCATTCAGCATTTTCTTCGGGTTTCGGGTCAAAATAGTCCGGGTATCGAAACTGTCGGGTAACCCGTGACATCCCTTTTTTGTAATCTAAATTTAATTTTCCCATTTTAAGACACATTTTTGATGCCGAGAATTTAAATACTGTTTGTCAAATACGTGCTCATGATAGTGTTTTGGCTGCTGTTAAATTTAACCCGGATGGAGACAAACTTGCTACAGGATCGGAGAAGGTTTTGAATTTTGATTATTATTTTTTTAAGTGCCCCCTCCCCTTCACTTTTTTGATAAGTGGGATATTTTGGGTTTCCCTGAATTCCCTTTACTATCAAAATTTATTGCTAGATTCTTTAAAATATTCTCAATTTAAGGGAACTGTGATTCGTGTTTTCTCAATTCCTGGTGGAGAACGTTTATTTGAATTTGTCTGTGGAGTCAATTGCTGTGTTCAAATAAGCTCTCTTGCCTTCTCCCAAGATTCTCGATTTTTGTGTCAATCATCAAACACTGAAACTGTTCATGTGTTTTCCTTGGCTAGACGTGATCAACAATTGGAGAGAAAAGAAAGTTTTGCCATAGCTAAATTGCCTATATATGGACATAAAACTGTTGTGGCTATGCCTAAAATTCAGGTTTTTTTTTAATTACATAATTTCATCAAAAAATAAATTTTAGGGAATTGATTACTTAATTGTTGCGAGTATGGAAGGCTATCTTTTCTGGTACTCGTTGCCTACTTCTAGCGATGTCAGTGAATGCAAGCTTCTACGCCAGTACAAAATTGGGCCTAAAAAACAACAAGAACAACAAAATTTGTCTTCAAATATTTCTGAAGAAGATTTGCTTCCTGCTCCAATTAAAGTGAAGATACGTGATTGTTCTACAATGTGTGGACAAAGAGTTCAAATTTTTGGTTTTGTACATCGCTGTCGACAACAAAGTTTGTTTTTTTTAGGATTTTGGGTTCCCTTTAATTTTGAGATTTGGAGGGTCCGGGTTTGAATCTTGCTCTTGAATCCTGCCGATTTTTTACCTTGAGTCAAGGAAAAATCGAGGAACCCTGAAAGATGCCTCGATCTTGACTCGGAATCTGGGAAAAATCAGGGCCTGGATCCGGATCCAAGCTGATCTCTATGTCTCTATGTTTTCCCTTAATGTTTTGGGGTTGGATGGCCCTTGGTTCGAATCTTCCTCTGGAACCTCAATTTAAAACTAAAAATCTCTTTCAAAATTTTTCCTTTTTTTTATAGGAAAGGACTTGATAGTTGTTCTTCGAGATGGGACTGGCTTTTTGCAATGTGTTCTGAGTGGAGTACTTTGCCAAACTTCTGAAGCTTTAACATTGACTACGGAAAGCTCTGTTTGCATATACGGAACGGTTTGCTTCTTTCTCTTTAATTTATTCACTAGAGTTGGACGAGACCGGTTAAATGTCTCGTTTATTTTTTCCTATGGCGGGTCTTTTTTCTTTTTCCTTTTTTCTTTTTTTACCCGCCGCAGGGAATACCGGTCTCATCCACCTCTATTATTTACCTTAAATCAGGTGAACAAACCCCCTAAAAGAAAGACGGCCCCAGGTGGTGTAGAACTCGTTGCTGATTTTTGGACTTTAATTCATGGAGCACCGCCCGGTGGGATTGACAATGTGTTAAATGCTGAGGCAAATTCTGATGTTAATCTGGACAATCGTCATTTGTGTATTAGAGGAGAAAATTGTTCTGAAATTCTTCGAATCCGAGCGGCCGTAACGCGTGCAATAAGGGAACATTTTTATTCTCGCAAATATGTCGAAGTATGCCCTCCAACACTTGTTCAAACGCAGGTTTATTTAGAATCAACTTTTTAGAGTTTAACTGCTAAATTTTAGGTTGAAGGAAGCTCTACATTTTTTTCCATTGACTTTTTTGGTGAACAGGCTTATTTAACTCAATCGTCGCAGCTTTATTTGGAAACATGCATTTCTTCTCTGGGAGATTGTTATTGTATAGCGCAGTCTTATAGAGCGGAGAAATCTCGAACGAGTCGACATTTGGCTGAAAACTCTCATGTTGAGGCAGAATGTCCATTTATTACTTTTGAAGGTTTTTTTGAATTTTTAGAAATTTTTTTGAATTTTTTATTTTTTTAGAATTGATGAATAAAATTGAGGATCTTGTTTCTGATGTAGTTGAGAGGGTTTTGAGTGATCCTGAAGTTTCTAAATTAATATTACAACGATGGAAAACGTCAAAGGTTTTTTTAAGAGTTATTTAAGCACTATAGCCGGCACGGGACAGGACCCCGTACAGGATTTTACGGATCTCGTCCCGGAATCCCAGGTTTTTATCGAAACACGAGATTACTGGATTAATCCCGCGGGATCCCGTCCATACAAAATTTTGAAAGAAAATCCCGTTACCGGATCCCGGGAATGCGATTTTACCGACTTCTAGTAAGTAGTTTACTGGTTTTGTTGAAAAAAGAGGAAGAAATGTTCCGTTATTTTTTGAGATTAGTCAATAGGTAAAAGAGTCTCCTTAGAGAACCCCCCAGAGATTCGACCTAGTCTAATTTAGTCCGTGTTTCAGAATAAATAAAATATGAATTGATATTCGGATTCGGCAAACTCGATTGCTTATTGAAATCTAAAAATATCGCAACAGCACTTTTTCATATTTTTACAAAGATCAGTAAACTAAAATTTATTACCAAAAATATCCTTAAATTAATTTTTCCTATTTTTTTCAGAAAAAATTTCCTTCATTTAAACGTCCTTTTCTTCGAATGACTTATGCTGATGCAATTGAATGGCTGCGCAAAAATAATGTGAATAACAAAGAAGGGAAGCCTTTTAATTTTGGAGAATTCATTCCACAGGGTTCTGGACGACAAATGCTTGATACAATTGGACAGGTTTTTTTTCTAATTTTTTTTTAATTTAAAAAAAAAATTTTTTTTTAAAGCCAATCTTGTTGAATCGTTTCCCAGCTGGCACCAAAGCTTCTCGTTGTGAAGATGAAGACATGAACACTTCTCGTTGTGAAGATGAAGAAGGAAAGAAGAAGAATTTGACAGAATCTGTAAATTTCTTACTGCCTGGAATTGGAAAAGTTGTTGGTGGTTCAATGAGGATTTGGAAGGAAAAGGAAATTTTGGAAGCTTTTAAAATAACCAATGTGGACCCTAAACATTATTATTGGTATGTAGACCAAAGGAAGTATGGTGGATGCCCACATGGAGGTTTTGGACTTGAATTGGAACGGTTTGTTTGTTGGTTAGCTAATCAAGACCATATAAGGGATGTTTGTTTATATCCTCGATTTATTGGACGATGTGCCCCATAAAGATTTTTTTATTAAATTCTAGACTAGGACATGGATACGGATATGATAAAAATGCCTACGGATATCCGTCTGTATCCGCCGTAAATATCCGGATACGGATACCAAAATCAGTATCCGTGTCCTAATCTGGTTAATTCATAAAAGATTTTAATTTATTTAAATTATTTATAGTCGTTATTGTGTGAGCTTATTTTTGAAATTATTGTCCCAAAAAGACCATTTATGTGTGATTGTTTAAAAATTATTTTTTTTAATTGTTGGTAAAATTTCTAGAAATTTTTTTAAGATTTGACATATAAAATTTAGGTTACTTAGTAAGTCATGGGCTATCCATGCTATTTTTCCGACTCGAAACCGTTCCCAGAAATTTTTCCAAAACTCGGCTAACTTTCTCCAATTGTTGTCCCAGAACTTTTTTAAGCCCCAAAACCCGCTCCGAAGAAAATTTTAAAAATCAGACTCGATGACATCCCTGATACCTATAAAAATATTTCTAACAATAAGATAGGGTTTATTGACATTGGCATAGGTGTTGGAGCAACATATTGCTGTTGTAGTTGTGGAGGTTGTTGGTGAAGTAGTGCTGATGGTGGTGGAATTTGAGGAGAAGCAACACGAGGTGTTGCTATTGTAGGCGGTACAAGTGTTAGTGGTGTAGAGTAAAGACAAGAGGAACTTGTTGTGGGAAAGGTGGGGGTGGCAAAAGTTTATACCCTTTCGGATGGTATATAAAATTTGTGAAGACATTACTTTGTATAAGCTTTAAAAACATTTTTTAATTCAAACACATTTTATACAAAAAAATTTATTCCCATGTTTGGAATTTTCTATTAATAAGAGAAAAGAATTTTTGATTGTAAGGCCTAAAATGTTCTATTAATGAGAGTCTAAATTTTGATGAAATTTTGAGATGTTTTCTGCCCTTGCTTTTGCCTAGACAGTGAATTGTTGAATTTAAATTTTGTCGGAAGCAATAAAAATTTTTTTGTTTATTAAAAATTAGTTGAGTTGAATTGATGGAAGGCTCTAAACCGAGAAATCGTTCGGCTATTTTTAACTAAAAAAAAATTTTTTTTTAATTCCATAAAAATTAACATGCCTGACTTAAAGGGTCTTCAATAAATTTATCTCCATCTATAATTAAAAATTGTTTTAATGGAAAATAGTTTAGCCATCTGTTTAAATGTTCGGCATATAGTGAATTACGAATGGGTTTAAACCTATGTTTTAAAATAATGTTTTAATTAAAGTTTATTTAAAACAAGTCTGTAATAAAACAAGTTTATTAAATAAACTTGTTTGTGAATAAGTTTGTTTTAAAGTTTATTAAAACATGCGTATTAAAACATGTTTTTTAAACAAGTTTATTAAATCAACGTGTTTTTCTAAACAAGTTTATTTAAAAAATGTCAAAACATGTTTATCTAAAACATGTTTATTAAAATAAACTTGTTTGTGGATGTTTGTTTTACAAGGTTATTAAAACAAGTTTATTAAATATGTAATAAAACATGTTTATTAAGACAACGTGTTTTTCTGAACAAGTTTATTTAAAAAATGTTCAAAACAAGTTTTATTAAAACATGTTTATTCATGTTTATTCAGGTTTTTAATTAAAAATTAGTTCACCGTTTATTTAATTGTACCGAACCATTACAATTTTTAATAAAAGACATTTTTTCAAAATTAATTGTTGGTTTATTCCTTTCTTTTTTTGTTTGTAAAATTTGTGTAAAATCACTAACTATTTTTTAAATTAATTTTAAATTAAAATTTTCTAATTTACCAGTTCTAGTAACAGGCGAACGCACTATGAGAATAAATTTAATTTTTGGGTTAAATTGAAATACTCGTTGGGGAACTTGTGGATTTGCAGTAAAATAGGCGGGAGTCTTCTCTATTATTACCTTAAAATTAGAAAAAAATTTTTCTGAAAATTAAAATTTTTTTTTAAATTTCTTCTCACGTCATCTGGACATGCCTTTGGCATTTGTTTACTATACCAATCCAATCCGCGACGAAAATTTTTTTCTTTATCAAAAAAGTGGACCTCATGTCTTTCAAATTAATTAAAAATTTACTAAAATATTTTTAAAAATTAAATTACCGGGCAATTTTAACTTTGGGGTGTAATGCAAGGGCGTCCAATAAAGCTCGAGTTCCCCCCTTTCGAACACCAATAATTAAAAAATTTGGTAAATTACTAAAAATTAAATTGATAAATTTAAAATTAATTTTGCCTATAATTTTGATTTTTATTAATTTCAATATTTTTTAATATTGTTGACTGGGAAGTATTAAAAGTTGTGTTGTTGTGAAAGAATAGTTGACAAACTGCTAATAGAGAAACAAAACAAATTGAAACAAACAGGCGTCGAAAGAGAATTAAAACATTGTTTTTATTAAAACATGTCAACAAATGTTGGCAAGTGTTTTTGCCCATTGTTGTTAAAGTTTGGAATAGCCATCAAGTTGGGAAAATTACTAAAACATTAAATAAAACATGTTTGGGGAAACAAAAACAAGTTTAAATAAAAACAAGTTTATTTATTTAAAAAGTTTTTAAAAACAGGTTTGTTTATTTATTCTGCAAAAACATGTTTGTTAAAAAATATGTTTTTATCAAAACATTTCAAGTTTTGTCTAAACAAGTTTATTATAAACAAGTTTATTATAAACAAGTTTATTTATAAACAAGTTTATTTATTTATAAACATTTTGTTTAGCTGTTCCACAAAAACAAGTTTATTAAATTATTAACTCAACAAAACATGTTTATAAGTAATAAAACATAAAATGTCATTTTTTTGTTCAACGGTTAAAGATTACTATTTTTAGTCTATAAAATTATGAATAAAAAATATAATTTAATATTTTGCAATAAAATTTGAGGAAATTTGTTGAAAATGACTTTTATTCTTTTTTTATGCTTTGCATAAAAATATTCATTTTTTGCTATTTGGCACAGGGTTAGCCCCCATAAAGGTAGGGGGAAGAGGGGAGGTTTTTGGCTTAGTTGACAAGCAAAACCACTTTTAGGAGGAAAAGGCTTCCCTTTAATATTTAATAGATGATCTCTAGCCAATATAGTTAATAATAAGGCAAAATCCAAATTATTATTATTGCCGGTTAAAAGAGAAAAGAATGTTGTTGCAACATATGTTTGGCTTTATACTTAATAATTATATCTAGGGTATTTTTAATTATTTTTATTTTGCCAGCTATGAGATTGAAAATAAAAATATTCGTATCTTCCTTGCTCTGGCCGGTAAAGTTTGCCCTGTTTTTGACAATTGCTCTGCCTTTTAGATGTAATGAAAGCTCGGGCCTTCGGCCCGCCAACTCCTCGGCCTTCGGCCTCGGAGGATCTATGCTCTGCCTTTGACAATTGCTCTGCCTTTTAGATGTAATGAAAGCTCGGGCCTTCGGCCCTCGCCTACGGCGGGCCTTCGACCTCGGAGGATCTATGCTCTGCCTTTGACAATTGCTCTGCCTTTTAGATGTAATGAAAGCTCGGGCCTTCGGCCCTCGCCTACGGCGGGCCTTCGGCCCGCCAACTCCTCGGCCTCGGAGGATCTATGCTCTGCCTTTGACAATTGCTCTGCCTTTTAGATGTAATGAAAGCTCGGGCCTTCGGCCCTCGCCTACGGCGGGCCTTCGGCCCGCCAACTCCTCGGCCTTCGGCCTCGGAGGATCTATGCTCTGCCTTTGACAATTGCTCTGCCTTTTAGATGTAATGAAAGCTCGGGCGTCGGCCCTCGCCTACGGCGGGCCTTCGGCCCGCCAACTCCTCGGCCTTCGGCCTCGGAGGATCTATGCTCTGCCTTTAGCAATTGCTCTGCCTTTTAGATGTAATGAAAGCTCGGGCCTTCGGCCCTCGCCTACGGCGGGCCTTCCGCCCGCCAATTCCTCGGCCTTCGGCCTCTGAGGACAAAATTCCCTATCGAGTTAGAGTCTCAGAAATATTTGAGTCTCACACTTCTTAACCCATAACTTTCTGAGACTCAAGTGGACCCCCGACATATTATACTTATGCTGACCGCCAGGGAACGCTCTTTCGAATGAGCTATCGAAAACGGGTTTCAATTCACTTTCCAAAAATTGACTCGAGTCGCACCGACTCTTTGACTCATAACTCCCCAGGATTTCATCTCAGACTCAAATGTCCAACAACAAATATGTTCTTCATACCTATGCCTACAAATAACCCAACACCACCAAAGTCGTTCCCCAGCAAGACTTTTTCAATATAAGCAATTTCCCCCCTCAGACTCAAGTATCCCACCCTCAGACTCAAGTGACCCCCACAATTTATATATCATTCAACGCGCAATCCGATACCCTATGGAACGCCCCAGGTCCCATCCCGCTACGCCCCTAAAAAAAAAGTTACAGTCGCCACCCTTCCCAATTTTACATAAAAATATTTTGAAACTTTGGGCTACTGTAACTTGGTCCAAGGTGGTCCGAAAAATTTAAACTAAATTTATCCAGATTCAGCTCTTCGAGAGCTTTCATTTGACATATCATACGTGATTTGTCGATCAGTTTCGTAAATCTCGAAATTTGCGAAACGGGGATTTTGGGATTTTTGGGAAGGCATATCTATCCTTCAAGTTGGGATTTCGGGTTCGGGTTTTTTCCCATTAATATCCTCTAATCCCAACGTGCGTGCCTCCCGTTGGAAGTTTTCCTCTATCTGGTCCCACTCCCGAGATACCCCCGGTACCTATTCAATATAGGTACCATGGGGCAATTATTTCAACCCTTCCCTATTTTTCCCAAATGCCCCATCGTATCCAACCCCGGATGCAAAAAGTTTCAGACTTCTAACTCATCCCTAAAATGAGTTAGACTTCGAAGCCCCGGGGGCATAACCATTTGGGAAGGCATAAGTACCCTTCAGGTCCGAATTTCGACTTCGAGTTTTTTTCCATTAACATCCCCTAATATCAGGGCACGTGCCTCCCAGCAGACGTTTTCCGCTATCTCCAGCCATTAAAAAGATAGCCCCGGCACTTTTGCAATTTAGGTACCAGGGGGTAATTATTTTGACTTCTCGATAATTTTCCTGGATGCCCCGTCCCAAACTACCCCCCGAATGTCAAACTCCCGAATCCGTGCCGGCCTTCGGCCGGCCGTTATTTTTTTTCTTAGAAAAAACACTCCCTGAATTATAGGTATATAGTAACTAGCTGTAGTTACGTATGCGATGGCGGTAAGTTACGTATGCAATTCCTATTAGGATACTCTGGCGGTTTTTTTCGAACTCAGCCCGTTGGAAAGCCTAACGGCTTTGGGGCGCGCTTCGCGCGCTGCTAGAACTTTTGGATGCCTGGAATATATTTATTTATCTCTGCCTTTTTATTGCTTCGGGCCTCCGGCCCTCGCTGATCTTTTCTCTGCCTTCCGGGATGGGTTGAAGCTCGGGCCTTCGGCCCTCGCCTCGTCTTTCCCCGTTGGGACTCATGCTTCCACTTAGAGTCACTTCGGGCCTTCGGCCCTCGTCTTCCCCTCGATTGGGCTCTTCCTTCCACTTAGAGTTACTTCGGGCCTTCGGTCCTCGTCTTCCCCTCGATTGGAACCATCCTTCCACTTAGAGTCACTTCGGGCCTTCGGCCCTCGTCTTCCCTTCGATTGGACTCATCCTTTCAAGTAGTACTATTCTCTGCCTTTGACTATTGATGTGCCTTTTAGATGTAATGAATGCTCGGGCCTTCGGCCCTCGCCTACTCCTCGGCCTTCGGCCTCGGAGGATCTATGCTTTGCCTTTGACTATTGCTCTGCCTTTTAGATGTAATGAAAGCTCGGGCCTTCGGCCCTCGCCTACTCCTCGGCCTTCGGCCTCGGAGGATCTATGCTCTGCCTTTGACCATTTGCTCTGCCTTTTAGATGTAATGAAAGCTCGGGCCTTCGGCCCTCGCCAACCGGCGGGCCTTCGGCCCGTCGGTTCCTCGGCCTCGGAGGATATCCTCGATTGGACTCATCCTTCCACTTAGAGTCACTTCGGGCCTTCGGCCCTCGTTTTACCCTCGATTGGACTCATCCTTCCTCTTAGAGTCACTTCGGGCCTTCGGCCCTCGTCTTCCTTTCGATTGGACTCACACTTCCACTTAGAGTCTCTTCGGGCCTTCGGCCCTCGTCTTCCCCTCGATTGGACTCATCCTTCCACTTAGAGTCACTTCGGGCCTTCGGCCCTCGTCTTCCCCTCGTTTGGACTCATCCTTCCACTTAGATTCACTTCGGGACTCATCCTTTCAATTAGAGTCACTTCTGGAATCATCCTTTCAATTAGAGTCACTTCTGGACTCATACTTTCAATTAGAGTCACTTCTGGACTCATACTTTCCATTAGAGTCACTTCTGGACTCATCCTTCCACTTAGAGTCACTTCGGGCCTTCGGCCCTCGTCTTCCCCTCGATTGGACTCATCCTTCATCTTAGAGTCACTCCGGGCCTTCGGCCCCTCGATTGGACTCATCCTTTAAATTAGAAGGATGATTGGACTCATCCTTTCAATTAGAAGGATTTTTGGACTCATCCTTTCAAATAGAAGGATGATTGGACTCATCCTTTTAATTAGAAGGATGATTGGACTCATCCTTTCAATTAGAAGAATGAGTCCAATCCAATACAAAATTTCGAAGCAGAAACTGCTTCACGAAGCATCGCTGCTTCGGATCCATAACAGGATCCAGCTTATCCCTCCACAAAATTTTCCCCAATATACAAAATTCTGCCTTAAACACTTCTCTGGGTTGCCCCGAATGGTCAGAGACGGAGAAAAATTTCGCCTCTCTGCCATCAACTTCACCTGTCAATCATTTTTCCTCTCTCCCTACCATAATTTTCCGAGTACGGTACTCACCCCCCACAAATTTTTGAACCTCTGTACTTTCTTCAAAATGTACCGAAAAAATTCGAAAAAAATATTTTTATATCCAGCTCGATGAGAGCTTTCGAATGATATCTCATTTGCCATATCTATATTGAATTTGAAAAAAATATTTTTTTGGCCTGAAATTTAGGCCAGAAAAAATCCCTGAAATTTTCAAAAA